CCGCGTGCTACCCGTCCCGGCCCAGCTCCCGGCCACCCGTGCACCACCCGTCCCTGCCGTGAGCCACCGGCCCGAGCCGCCTGCGCAGCTGTGGAGCCGAGCCGCAAGAGCCGCCTGTGCCGCTGACAGCCCGAGCCGCCCGAGCCGCCCGAGCCGCCCGAGCCGCCCGAGGAGCCGAGCCGCTGGTGCCGAGGTGCTGCTGTTGCTGCTGGGCCGGCTGAGCTGCCGTGTTTGCTGTACTGCTGTGCTCCCTGACCCGTCCTGTCTGGTGAGATCGCCGGCTGCAGTCATGGCTACCCCTAGTGTCCTAGCTTTTGACGCTGAGGGTCGTGCCATTGACTTTGAGGTCTGGGTCGACGACCTGCAGCTGCTCTTACAGTGCGATAGGGCAGACGGTCTTTCCCTCTTTGACCTCACCTCTGGCGCCGTCCCTGCCCCTGCTGCTGATGCTGACGCCACTGTTCGCTCATAGTGGGCCACGCGCGATGCTGCTGCACGTCTTGCTGTGCGTCGCCACCTGCCTACCGCTGAGCGCGCGCACTTTAGCCAGTACAAGAGTGCCCAGACCTTGTACGACGCTGTAGTTGCGCGCTACTCCTCCCCTGCCACTGCTGCACTGAGCCGCCTCATGCTCCCCTTCCTTTTCCCTGACCTTGCCGCCTTTCCCACTGTCGCTGATCTCATTACGCACCTCCGCACTAGTGACACTCGCTACCGCGCTGCACTTCCTGCTGACTTCTGCGCCAAGAACCCCCCCCCATGTACATCACTCTCTACTTTTTAGTCACTCGCCTCCCTAACTCCCTTCGTGTAGTCCGGGACCACTTCCTCGCGGTCTATTCCACCACCCTCACAGTCGACAGCCTCGAGAAGGCCCTCCTAGCGGCGGAGAAGAGCATAGTCGCTGTAGGAGCCTCTCGAGGTGAGCCCCGCGCCCCCATCTTTGAGGGGTGTTCTCCTTCCCCTCTCCTACCCTCTGTCGCCTCTGCCGCTGCGGCCGACCTCGTTGGTCTTGAGTCGGTCGGTGCGGCGTCTGCCCCTAGCGGGAGACGCCGCTCTGGCAAGGGCAAGGGGGGCAAGGGAGCGGGTGGGGCCAGCGGGGGCGGTGGAGGCGGAGGTGGAGGCGGCGGAGGGAGTGGGGGTGGCGGTGGAGGTGGTGGCGGGGGTGGGGGTGCTAGTGGCGGCAGTGGAGGCGGGGGTGGCGGCGGCAGTGGCGGTGGGAGCGGAGGTGGCGGAGGCGGCGGCGGTGGAGGCGGAGGCGGGGGCGGTGGAGGCGGAGGTGGGGGTGGCGGTGGTGGAGGTAGTCGGAGTGGTGCTTCGCAGCGGAGCAGCACTGGGGGTGGTCAGCGCCAGCAGCAGCAGCAGCAGCGTTCTCGCTACGTCCCCACCCCTCAGCAGCTCCGTGAGTGGTACACGCAGCGTCAGCGTGGTGGGGGTTTTGGTCCCTGCACCTACGTTCTTCGCACTGGCGACCGTGCTGGAGAGCAGTGTGGGGGTACCCACACCGCCCAGCGCTGCTTTGGCCGCCTGACGGACGCTTTGTGCCAGCAGTTCCCGGAGGCCGCGGAGATCCCCCGCTGGGGAGAGCTGTCTAGGGCTGGTGTAGCTATCTTTGATCTTGACTTTGATGCTATCCTTGCTGCCATGTATGCTGTGACCATTAGTGATGAGGGTGAATGTTACCGGTGTTTCCCGCCCGACCCGGGCATTGGTACTGCTGCTCTAGGTGCCAGCGAGGCTTCTACTCTAGGTGCCAGTGCGTCTGTGCTCTCAGGTACTGGTGAGGCTGCTCTCTCAGGTACTAGTGAGTCTGCGCTCTCAGGTACTGCGCCGGCTTCGGCCTCCCACACCTTCACCCTTGACTCTGGAGCGTCTCGCTCCTTCTTTCGGGATCGCACCACACTCACGCCGCTTAGTCGGCCAGTTGCGGTGTCCCTGGCTGACCCCTCTGGGGGTCCTGTTCTGTCTCGCTTCTCCACAGTCCTCCCGTGTCCGGCGGCTCCCTCTGGCACCCTGTCTGGTCTCTACCTCCCCTCGTTCTCTACGAACTTGGTGAGTGGCGCTGACCTACAGGATGCGGGAGTCCACTTGTTCACCCCTGCTCGTCAGCGAGTGACGCACTGCACAGAGGCTAGCACAGGTCGTCACCTGGCTACGTTTACCCGTCAGCCAGGGTCGAGCCTGTACACACTGACCACTGCTTCTCCTCCAGTTCCTGCGTCTGGTAGGGTCCCTTCGTCAGGTCAGGTGTTTGCTGCAGCGTCCAGGTCTGGTCCTGAGTCTGCCCCCTGTTCCTGTCGTCGCCTGTCTCACGAGACTCTCCTCTGGCACCACCGCCTGGGTCACCCCTCTCTGCTTCGGCTCAGAGGCATGGCCTCCCGTCTTCTTGTGTCTGGTCTTCCCCGGTCCCTCCCTCCCCTTCCTGAGGGCCCTGGCCCTGCCTGTGTCCCCTGTGTCGAGGGGCGCCAGCGTGCTGCCCCTCACTCCTCCCAGTTTCCTCCGACAGAGGCTCCGTTGCAGACGCTTCACATGGACGTGTGGGGCCCTGCCCGCGTCCGTGGACTCGGTCACGAGCGCTACTTCCTGTTGGTGGTTGACGACTACTCGCGTTACATCACAGTCTTCCCCTTGCGTAGCAAGGGTGATGTCACTGAGGTGCTGACCGACTGGATCTGCGCAGCTCGTCTCCAGCTCAGGCAGAGCTTTGGCTCGGACTTTCCTGTGTTGCGTCTGCACTCGGACAGAGGCGGGGAGTTCTCCTCTGGCCTTCTGCGTGCCTACTGTCGTGCGCGAGGCATCCATCAGACCTTCACGCTTACATACTCACCGCAGCAAAATGGGATTGCTGAGCGCCGCATTGGCATGGTCATGGACGTCGCTCGTACGTCTATGATGCATGCGGCTGCCCCCCATTTTCTGTGGCCGTTTGCGGTCAGGTACGCGGCGCATCAGATCAACCTCCACCCCAGGGTCTCCAGGCCGGAGACCTCCCCAGCCCTGCTGTGGACGGGGAAGGTTGGCGATGCGTCGGCGTTCCGGGTCTGGGGATCTCGGGCGTTTGTCCACGACTTGTCTGCGGACAAGCTGTCCCCTCTCGCTGCTCCCTGCGTCTTCCTAGGGTTCCCCCCCGACGCCCCTCGGTGGCAGTTCCCCCCCGACGCCCCTCTCGCCGTGTTCTGTCCTCCCAGGACGTCACGTTCGACGAGTCGGTACCCTACTACCGCCTCTTCCCCTACCGCACTCCGTCCCTTCCCCCACCCCCGCTCTTCTTGGTACCAGGTCCCCCCCCGGTAGACCCCCTTCCCCCTCAGGGTCCTGCCCCTTCAGGTGTGTCCCAGGTAGACGCGGTCGAGCCTTTCGAGGTCACTGGTGACTCTAATGCTGCTGTGGGTGCTGAGCCTAGGGGTGCTGTGACTGGGGGTGCTGTGCCTGGGGGTGCTGAGCCTGGGGGTGCGGAGCTTGGGGGTGCAGAGTCTGGGGGTGCTGAGCCTGGGGGTGCTGAGCCTGGGGGTGCTGAGCCTGGGGGTGCTGCGCCTGGGGGTGCTGAGCCTGGGGGTGCTGAGCCTGGGGGTACTGAGACTAGAGGTGCTACGGCTGGAGGTGCTTTGCCTGAGGGTCCTGAGCCTGGAGGTTCTTCGCCTGGAGGTTCTCCGGGTGCGTCGTCTCGCCAAGAGCCACTCTCCCCACAGGAGCTGCGTGAGTGGTTTGCCCGGCGCTGGAGGCGTGCTGCTGGTGCTGGAGGTTATTCGGCTGCTGAGGGTGCTGCTGCCGCGCGTCCCGGAGGTGCTCGTACTGGGAGTACTGGAGCTGCTGGGCCTGCGGGTTCTCCTGGAGCTGGTGCTGCTGAGCGTGTTGGCGCTGAGACTACCGCTGGCGGTCCGACTGGCAGTGCTCCTGGTGCTGTTGGAGGTTCTGGGGCTATTGGAGGTGTTGCTGGGGGTTCTGGAGCTCCTGGAGGTGCTGCTGGAGGTGCTGCTGGAGCGGGTACTCCTGCTGGGGGTACTGGTGCTGTCCCTGCTGTTTCTGGCGTCGCCACGCGGCTCCGACCGTACTTCCTTCCGCTCCTGCAGCAGGTTTTTGGTCTTACACCTTCTCCTGGTCCTCCTCCTCCTCCCTTCGAGGGTCCACAGCCTGTCCAGTCACAGTCACAGCTACAGCCTGCCTCCCCTTTGCTTGCTCCTTCTCCCTACGCTGGTCCTACTGGAGGTCTTACTGAGCGTCGTGAGCCTGCGTCTCGTCCTGCATCGCCTGTTCGTGCTGCGCACACTAGTGGTTGCGGTTCGCGTCAGCGTCCTCCTCCTGTCCCTGGCATGCACCGGATGTCTCTGCGTCCGTCTACTGCTCCTCTGCGTGCCCCTTTGCCTTCTCCTCCTGCTTCCTCTCTTCCTGCTCTTGCCGACCCGGAGTCGGACTCTCTTCGTGCTGCCAGTCCTACTGTCACGCGTCTCCTTGCTACTGCTGTCACTGACCCTTCTTTCGAGTCTTCTGCTGCGTCTGCCCTTGTTACTGAGCTCGTCGACTTTGCTGCGCGCTGTCGTCTAGACTACGCTGCTAGTCTTGTCGCTGAGTCTGAGTCTGCCTGTCCTCCGTCCGTCGGGGGTGAGTGTGCCCTTGGCATGGACGTCCTTGAGGACAGGCAGGAGGAGTTCCAGTGTCTGGCCGCCTCTTCACCTCATCTCGCGTCTGTACTGCTCACCCCTGAGGGAGACCGGGATGCACTAGACATCCCGACTCCGCGCTCTTACGCGGAGGCGATAGAGGGTCCCTACTCCTCTCAGTGGCAGGCAGCTATGGATGCAGAGATGGCTTCCTGGAAGTCCACAGGCACCTACGTTGACGCTGTACCCCCTCCTGGGGCGAACATCGTCAGTGGCATGTGGATCTTCAGGGTGAAGCGGCCGCCAGGCTCTCCGCCTGTCTTCAAGGCGCGTTACGTGGCTCGTGGCTTCAGTCAGCGGCAGGGAGTTGACTACTTTCAGACCTTCTCCCCCACCCCGAAGATGACCACTCTTCGGGTACTGCTGCACGTTGCTGCTCACCGTGACTACGAGCTGCACTCCCTCGACTTCAGCACTGCTTTCTTGCAGGGCAGCCTGCACGAGGAGATCTGGCTGCGTCGCCCATCTGGCTTCATTGGGTCTTTCCCTCCTGGTACCCAGTGGAGTCTCCGGCGTCCAGTCTACGGTCTCCGCCAGGCGCCGCGTGAGTGGCACGACACACTGAGGACTACGCTGGCGGCACTTGGGTTTGCTCCTTCCACTGCAGACCCGTCGCTGTTTCTGCGCACCGACACCTCTCTGCCGCCGTTCTACATCCTCGTGTACGTCGACGACTTGGTCTTTGCCACAGCTGACACTGCTGGACTCGCCTACGTGAAGTTCGAGCTGCAGAAGAGACACACGTGCACTGACCTGGGTGAACTGCGCAGCTACCTTGGCTTGCAGATCACCCGGGACAGAGCACGCCGCACCATTACCCTGACTCAGTCACACATGGTGCAGCAGGTCCTTCAGCGCTTCGGCTTCACGTACTCCTCGCCTCAGGCCACTCCTCTTCCTACTCGCCACTCGCTCTCAGCTCTGCCTTCGGATGAGTCCGTAGAGTCGAGTGGCCTGTATGCAGAGCTTGTTGGCTGCCTCATGTACCTGATGACCTGCACACGACCTGACCTTGCATACCCTCTTAGCATTCTCGCACGCTATGTTGCTCCTGGGAGACACCGAGCAGAGCACATGGCTGCAGCGAAGAGGGTGTTGCGCTACTTGTGCAGTACGTCGGGCATGGGGCTAGTGCTTGGAGGGCAGAGTCCAGTGGTCCTCACTGGGCACGCGGACGCTTCTTGGGCTGACGACCAGGCTACGCAGCGGTCGTCACAGGGTTACACCTTCAGCCTTGGTTCCGGCTCTGTTTCATGGCGGGCTACCCGCTCGTCTTCTGTTCTCGGCTCCAGTTGTGAGGCTGAGATCTACGCCGGGGCTATGGCTGCCCAGGAGCTTCGCTGGCTCATCTACCTGCTGACTGACCTTGGAGAGCCGCCTCGTTCTCCTCCAGTCCTGTACGTAGACAACAAGGCCATGCTGGCCTTGTGTCGAGAGCAGCGACTGGAGCACAGGACAAAGCACATTGCTCTCCGCTACTTTCTTGCTCGTGAGCTACAGCAGCGTGGACAGTTGCAACTTGCGTACGTGGCCTCTGAGGCCGACACTGCTGATGTCTTCACCAAGGCACTTGCGCCTTGTGATCATCAGCGCTGCTGCACGCAGCTGGGTCTTGTGCCTGTCTTGCCTCACTTGCTCACTTCTTGACCTTGCTTGTACCTTTACCTATATATACTCTTGCTCTTGCTTGCTTGACTCTTGTATATCTCTATATGTGATCTTGCATGTGAACTGGCCTTCTGGCCTTTGAACTTGTGCTCGGAATGTGTGGTGACTTTGTGATCCACCCTGAGCTTTGCTTTGCTTTGCTTGACTGGTCTTGTGACCCCCTGTTCTCCCCCACTTTGCCTATGGGGGTGTGTCAGAACATTATAGCTTACTTATTTGTGTAGGCTATAGTGGGGTAGCCCATAAGGGGTACAACCCAATTAGGGTTAGTACTTGTACTCAGTTCATTCATAGTTCATCCATTCTCGTTCTAACTTTCTCAGAGCACCTGCGGAAGGTGTTCGAGATCCTGCGGAAAAACAAGTTCTACGTGAAGCTGTCAAAGAGCGACTTCGCCGTGAAGAAGGTGCAGTCTCTCGGGCACATGGTGAGTGCCGAGGGCGTACACGTGGACCCGCGGAAGATCGAAGCCGTCAAAAAGTGGAAAGTACCGGAGAACGTGAAGGAGTTGCAGCAGTTCCTAGGCTTCGCCAACTACTACAACAGGTTCGTGCCGCAGTACGCTAAGATAGCAGCGCCACTGACCGACCTACTGAAAAAGGATACGCCCTACAAATGGGATACGCCTCATCAGCAAGCCATGGAGCAGCTACAGACAGCACTGACTACAACGCCAGTACTCATCCTACCAGATCCAGACAAGGACTACGTGGTGGAAGCAGACGCTAGTGACCAAGCAGTCGGAGCAGTACTGATGTAGGATCACGGACGCGGTTTGCAGCCCATCGCCTACCTCAGTAAGAAGCTACACGGAGCAGAACTGAACTACCCCATCCATGACAAGGAAGCCTTAGCGATAGTCATAGCCTTCAAGGCGTGGAGGTGTTACCTAGAGGGAGCCAAGACTACAGTCTATACTGACCACTGCAGTCTCAAATACCTGAAGTCGCAGCCGACGCTCTCACGACGACAGGTGCGGTGGGTGGACTTCCTGGAAACTCACTTCCACTACGACATCGTCTACAAGCCCGGTCTACACAACAAGGCAGACGCGTTGAGCCGCATTGGACATGTAGCAGGCATCCAGCTCGATGGGATGAACCCTTTGCTCAAGGGTCTATTCCAACATGGGTACTCCGTGGACGCAGAAATCGCTAAAGCACAGAAGAAGAAGTTGTTACAGTGGGAGAAAGACTTAGCTGTAAGGAAGGGTTCAGGAAAGATTTGGGTACCGAATTACGCCCCGCTACGGCAGATCCTATTGGAAGAGTTTCACGACGTACCTTACGCGGGACATTTCGGGAGCAACAAGACGTTAGCAGGGATAGCGAAGTATTACTACTGGCCCGGGATGGCAGCAGACGTGCAGCAGTTTGTCACCTCTTGCGACACGTGCCAGCGGATGAAGAGTAGCAAGCAGAAAAAAGCAGGGTTACTTCAGCCTCTACCCGTACCGGAGCAGCCATGGCAAGTCGTTAGCCTCGACTTCATCACGGGACTTCCTTCGACCTCACGAGGGCATGATGCTATACTCGTGGTGATCGACAAGTTCTCTAAAATGGGTCACTTCATCCCGACCAACGCCACCGCTACTGCTGAAGCAACTGCTCGCCTCTTCTTCGACCGCATCATCACCATCCACGGCATCCCCGCTACACTCATCTCAGACAGAGACCCCAAATTCACGAGTAAGTTCTGGAAGGAGCTCATGGGATTATTGGGGACTAAACTGGCGATGTCCTCAGCATACCACCCACAGACTGACAGACAGACAGAGCGACTCAATCAAGTGGTTGAACAGTTACTGCGCACAGCTTGCAAAGACGACGTCAGCCATTGGGACACACAGCTACCGACCCTAGAGTTCGCTTACAACAACACGTCTCATGCGACCACAGGGAAAACTCTTTTTTTCCTGTGTTACGGACGGGAACCACTTACACCACAGCAGCCAACCACACCGGCACACGTCCAAGCCGCACATGACTTCGTCACCACCATGCAGCAGCTATGGGAAAAGACTCAGCGACGACTTACCACGATGCAGACCTCCCAGAAGCAGTATGCCGATCGTCAGTGACGAGATCACTCAGTAGCAGTCGGAGATCAGGTGCTTCTTGACACGCGCAACTTGAACCTGTCTCACCTTCCATCCAAACTCCAGCCTCGCTTCTGTGGTCCTTTTTCTCGTTGAGACACAGGTGACACCAGTTACATTCCGCTTGCGCTTACCAGATACATGGAAGCTTCACAACGCTTTCCATGTCCAGCTACTGAAGCCCTACAAGGACCCCAACCAACAGTTCCAGGGACGGCAGCTACCGCCACCACCACCTGTTCTCATACAGGTAGAACCCGAGTACGAAGTGGAGCGTGTTCTCACTCATCAGCGCCGCGGCGGCAAGACCCTCGAGTTCCTGATACGCTGGAAGGGAAACGACCCCAATGAGGACAGTTGGGTTGCAGAAGCTGATATGCGCAACGCACGCCGTGCTCTCAAGGACTATTTTGTCAAGCAGGGTGTTTCTCACGCCACCCAGCTTTGAGGGGGGGGACATGTGAGAGTACGACGGCTTATGCCAGCTATGCTTGCTTGCCTAGACTTTATTACGCTATATCTAGCTTGGGTTTTATTTATCATGCATAGATATGCTTGATTTCCTAGGTTAGGTGCATTCCTATATATTATTATAGTTATAGCACCGAACCAGGTTACGTGTACCGAACTCAAGCCTATTCGGTTTCCACCGAATTGCTTTCTACTGAGTTCGGGAAGGTTCTGTTCAGGGCGCTTCGCGACCCTCAGAACATTCGCGTAACACCTGGGTAACTGGCCTTGTGTCAAGCCTAAATATAGCCTCGTGTTGTACCCAGGTGAATCATTCAATTACAACTCTCTTTTCTGAGCTCGATCCTAGATCCTCACATAAGAACTATGAAACATAGATGACTTAGGTGAGAGAAAGTACAAGTACAGCTGTCAAGAGAAATCTACACCCTATATCATGGACCTCACCTCAGCGTAACAGACCTAACACATTTATATGCATATATATATAGTTTGACACCTTCATCCTTCCCAGCCCACCTGTGTGTCTCCCAGAGCTAGGCGCACAATCGCTGCTGCGCGCCACCATGGGTTGTGCTGTGCAACTTGGAATGCTATCTACAACTACCCGAACGCCGCATGTGGGGGACCTGTTGTTATAACTGAAGGATCGTAGTGGATGGGATAAGTCTGTCAAGTTTGAGGGAAGACTATGAAGTATTGTAATGACCATGTTAATAAGTTGAAAGAGAACAAGATGGTTATAAGATAGGAGTACAAGGATATAAATAGCAATCCTAGCTAGCCATATACTCTGAAGGGAGCATTCCCTTATTAACTGAATTACATTGCTACAGTAGCCACAACTATTGCTATTCTTGACAGTTACCATGTTGCATCGCATAACTACCAAATACGGTTACTGGGCAGTCAAGGGTCACGATCGTTGACTATCTTTGACTGTTGACCTTCGGGTGACCCTCGACCTTCCGCATGCTCTATATGAGCTATTGCGATACTGATACAGGCGCGTTGCTTTGTTATGGAGTGACGCGCGAGTGGAGAGCCTTCGGGAATGTTGTGAGGAGCAACGCATATGTTGGGAACCTGAATGGTGGGCACAGCGATCTACCTGAATCACTGCCCTAGATATCAGACTTTACACTTTGATTTAAAGTTTGTTCAGGCTTCTTTTTGTACCTGGTCTGAACTCAAAGTTTTTCGTTATGTACCTTGTCTTGGTTTTCAAAAAAAAAAAAAATTTAATGACTTGGTTGCAATTTTAGCCAAATTTTATGAGTATAGGCTGAGCCCTCAGCCTTGTATCGGGGGTGCACTCTGAAACTGGTAATACAGGGATTTCCGCCAGCCTGGCGGCGTGTATCACGGGCGGGAAACCAAAGCTTCCCGAGCGCGGCACCGCACAGTCGCGTTGGTACAGGAATGTTGATATCAGCTTCAAAACCAACCAATCACGGTTGCGCATCAGGCAGCGTTGGCAAGATTCCTTGCCAACGCATAGCTCATAGCGCGCTGTACCTTGGACGACACAACAGCTGATCAGCTTAAATTTTGGATGCAGTGCTGAAAGTTCAGCATTTGAATTTTGTGTTGTCTGAATTTTCAGCCTAAAACATTGAGGCAATGCTAACAGCCAGAAAGTTCCAAGAGGGGTGCGCGCTGATCAATCAGCGTGCCCCAAAACGAATCTAGGGGCCTGACCCGAATATCAAGGGCCTGAGGAAATCTAAAACAAGCAAAGGAGAGGAGAGGCGTTGATGTGATTGCTAAATTTAGAAAGCTTGCTTTCTTGCACTTAGCAATTAGCATCGTCTCGTTTCAAATGGGTTTAGTACAATTGAAATTCAAGTAGTAACTTTACATTGGTGTGCGTACATGTGACTAGGGCTATCCTATTTTCGAGAGGGGGTGGGTGGGAAAATTGGCTAAACCATTTGAAAATAAGAGACGTGGGTGGAGGGAAATGACCTCCAGCCCACGTTTTGTATTCCAAAACAAGCGATTAGCGCAGTTCGACGCTGCCCATTCCTACATTACAGCAGCTTCGCTTTCAAAATACATAATTTGGAAAAGCATTAGAGCTTTTAAAAATATACATATTTGGAAAGCTTGCTTTCTTGCACGTAGCAATTGGCATCGTCTCATTTCATATGGGTCTTCTGATAGTGGTCGTTGTCGCGTCAGTGCCACTGGGCGTTGCTCCGGTGACGCGCCTCTTGCCGGATCCTGGACGTGTCGGGACGCTCCAACAAACTGTTCGACTGCTAGCGTGATGTACATCTCCTTGGCTGAATCGCTGCGACACCTACCCAACCGTTTTAGGATGCGATCCGGTACTCCAGCGTTGGTTGCGACCGTTGCTGCGCCTTTGCGGAATGAGTGGGTGCCGAGGGGCTCGAGTCTGAAACCA